TTTGCAGCCTGCTTGATGCAGCTGCCCAAAGCCCAGTCTGGCTACAAACAGCTGCGCCGGGCTCCAGGGTGGGGGGCAAGGGGAACAAGCAGGGCATCCTGCCATGTACCCCTTGTTGCACTTCGGCACCTTCCAAGGTAGGCATTGTGGTATTTTTTGGCAGTCTGGCCAAAAAACATTGCCTACCCTTGTGCTAGATGCTTTATGAGCACAGAACAGCATGATTGTCTGTGCCCCAAAAAGCCTACTGGGGTGGTGGAGGAGGAGGAATGCTGTCTTCCTGCAGTCAGGGGTTGTGAGAGAACTTAAAATGTATCAATTCCCAGTAGCTGGAGAGTGTGAAAGGCAAGATGGAAGAGTATTCTTGATGGGAATGCCGGCAACATACCCTTCCTTCTTGGAGGCTGTGGGGTTGGGCTTAGCTTTTTACAGTGGCTTTGCTCCCGGCTGGCATGACCCTCACTTTCATCTTAGTTGTCTGACTGTTAAATGGTTTTTATCCGCAAAAGATACCAGTGAACTGGGATGAAGCCATGTGGGAGGATACAGGGAAAAGGCGGAAAGTGAAGGAATGCATTTTGTGGGGTTTTTTTTTTAAGGTATATAAGAGAGATTTGGGAGGAAGAAAGATGATATTGGGAAGATTCAGAGTATCATATATAGGGAAGAAAGGAGTAGAGGTTCTGAAAACTACACAAAGTAGAACTAAATTCTAGAAGATGTAGCCTACAAGCTGGTTAACTTTAGGTGGAAAATTAAATGTTAATGATAATGGACAAAGGAGAAGATGTTTAAAGCCTAGAAAGAAATGACCAGTGAGGAGTTGAAAGCAAACACGGACAACCACATAGTGCAAAATTACATAGGGAAAGGTAACATAAGAGACAGACAAGACAGTTGCACTCAAAAACACGCAATACACAGTAGCAGTGAGAGAGTGGAGTAAAACAGGGAAGGGAAAGTAAGTGTAAGAAAATCGGGAAAAGCATTGCAAAATGCAATTGAATATAAAATTCTCTTTACTGTTAATTGGCAACGTGTTAAGAATAAGCATAATATTCAGCTCTTCTGTTCTTATACATTTCAGGACTGTGACAGCACTACACAGCTTTCATTTGCCTTAATCCTGAGGCTGTTAGGTTTGAATTCATTTTCTAAGCTGTGCAGTTAGGATGCCCATTTTTGTTCAAAGAGCATCTTTCAGCCCCTGAGTAAACATGTTAATAATATACATTTGTCATGGGACACAAGTTGAAGTCAAACTTTTGTGCAGGAGACAGGGAATGTCGTCTGGCTCTGCCTAGTCTAAAGCTGTTTGTTTTAGTTGTTCAGTATGAGCACTTGTTACCTGGCATGAAGACATGGACCCAGATACTAGTTGGCACTGGAGAGAGACCTTGAATACATTGGTATGACCTTCTTTTAAATCCTTTTGGGTGACTTTTTAAGTCGTGAAGTGGCTAATCTATTACTTGGATGTTTTTTGATGAGGGGAGGAAGGGTTGGAGGAAGTTATGTAAGGTTCCTAAAATTTATTTGAACTCAGTTATCCTTTACCTCTTTGCAAGCTGTCAGTAACCTATTCTGAGAGCTGTTTCCAATTCTGTTTCCTCAGAATGCTACTGAGAGTAATTTGGGAAGAGGCTGCTTATGATAGCTGCATTGGATTGCTGTGACTAAATTGGAGTAATTGATAAATTTATTGTTGTGACTTGTTTGCATATTTGTCAAAGGGAAGAATAAGAAACTTGTAACTACAGTTTAAAAAAAGAAAAGGAGAAGAAACAACATTTTTTAAAAAGAGTAGTGGTTCAAAGTTCACTTAAAACCTACTTGCTGGGAAAACTATAAAAGATCAAGAAAGGTACATGAACAATCAGAATTTTGTGATGAGAGCAGTCATGAACCCTTTGGGACAGACTTATCTCAGCCGTCAGACTAGTTTAAAAACATTAGTACCCGACTCATTATCATTGAAACTGAACTGAGATCAGCCTTTTTGAACATATGCTGCCCATGGATGAAATCTTTTAATGATTCTTGATTATATACTTTGTGTTTTTAAAGCAATCGTTTTCCCTTTTTCCAAACTCCTGCTGTGAGCTAAAAGAATTATAGGACCAACACCAAATACTAGTGGTAACAAAGTATCATTTTTGTAGGGGTGCACCAATAGGGATTTTTTAGGCTGATACCGATAACCAATATTTAAGGAGGCAAATTGGCCGATACCACTCTGATATCCAATATACTGCATGCAGCAGGTAAGTCTGGTGTGGTAGGAGAAGGGGCGGGGAGGGGGAAGGGAAGGGGCAGGGGGAGAGGGAAGGGGTGTGGGGGGCAGAATAAGGCCCTGCTGTGAGGGAGGGGGGCAGGGGCAGATGCTGCCCAGTT